GAGTGCTGGGCAGGGCAAAGAAGGGGGGGGAAGTGGGCCTGATCCAGATCAGCAGGGGAGGAGGGGGCAGGTTGCAAAAGATTAATCCAAGTATTTGAATACCCACACTTACAATACAAAGGGGTCCACATCTCCATTCAAAATTTCCAAAGGGGTCTGCACCTCCATTAAAAAAATGTAGGGGTCCGCAAATGAAAAAAGGTTGAAAAATCAATGCCTAGTGTGGCTACGCCTTAATGTAACAGAAGCTGGGTGACACACATCAGAGAAAATCCTGCCCTGGAGTGGCATAACTTTGAGTTGGCTAATGAGTGCTTAAAACTAGTTTCAGGTGTTAATGTGCAAACAGTCCAGGGGTTAAGACTGTTCAAAATTACCATGCAACAAGGCCCTAGATCAAGGGTCAGCAACCCCCGGCACACGTGCCAAGAATGGCACGCAAGGTCATTTTGCTCGGCACACCACTGCCAGCCGAGGCTCTAAGCAGCTGCTGCCAGCCATGGAGCCCAGGCTGCTCCCAGCAGGCGGCTGGGAGGCTGCAAACCCTGCTGCAAGCAGACTGGGCTCCATGGGATGGCTGCAGCTGGGAGGCTGCAAACAACTGCTCTGGCATGTCAGCACTCTGTCACCTTCCAAGGTAGACATTGTGGTTTTTTCAGCACTCCGTCCAAAAAAACATTGCCTACCCCTGCCCTAGACTGAAGATTCCTTTAAAATCTGTTTTCTAAATACAGAGACTTTCAAAATTAACTATATGCCTTTGTTAAAGTTATTTGAACAGTGTCAAGTAAGTCTTGTTCTTGCCATTAGATGATCTTATTCCAAAGAAACCTATTTATTTATTTTACTTTCAGCTACACAATTAATATTAAAAATTCCAAATTTCTAAAAACAAAACAATCAAATTAAAAAACCATCTAACACATTTATATGACAAAAATAGTTAGGTTTTAATCCTGACAATGTTTCCAACATAATCAAGTTTAGATTTCTGTCTGCTGCCTTTAATTTTTTTTTTTTTTACATTAACTCATATCACTCTTATTTATTAAATAATTCTGCTCATGAAGGGACAAAAATGAATGTCTGCATCTGAAACAGTTAAGAGAAGCTACCAGTAAATCACATCCTGCTTTTCTGACCTGTAGAGTGTGTGGCTTGGAAGCCTTTTCTCTGTACTGATGCATCAGAAACAAACCGAAGGAACATTTTGTTTCCAGTAGCAATGAGAGGATCTGGTATCTTATTGCCACATAAACGTCCCAGAATTGGTGACTTTTCAGTTTCTCCATCAAACACTTCCAAGTGGTCATAAGCACATTCCTGATGCTGTTCTATCTCAAACTCATTAAAGGTCTGGAAAAAAAAAAGTTTAGTACTATTAAGATAAAGAATCCAATATACATTATTTTTTACACAATAACAAATGTCTTCTAAATATGCTTTCAACAGTCTGCAGTTAGTTAAGACAGCACATGTACTTGTGCTTCTGTTATAAAGCTTGGAATTTTGAATGACATGCTCATGCTGAGAAAACCGAGTAATAATGAAGACAGTGAATTTTAAAGTTGGCAGGGTGCCCCTTCACATGAAAGGGATTAGACCATTTATAGTCAATGAATATCCATGACAGAACAGAGCAAATCTGGAATACCATGATCGTTCCATTGAATTCATACAATTAGTTGACAGGATTATTCCATATTTCACAGAACATTCAAAACAAATCAGAAAGCAGAAAATCTATCGGTTCCTCTTAGAAGTGAGGCCCTGAAACATCTGTGAAACATACTGTGCTTTTATATATTTGCTTCTTCACTATTTGTAGGTAAAAACATATACAATATGGTCCTTTGAAAATTGTCATATAAACTAATTTTTATAATTACAGTATTATTGATATATAAGGCTGCACTCCACAAATGAAAACCATATTTCCTAAGGAAACTGGTCTGATAAAAAGGACAAAAAAGGGGTTTTGGAAACTAGTTTGTAAATAAAACCCCAACATGACTCACTTTTAATTCCCCTCAATTCTCAGGGAGAAGAATTGTTGCAATGATCCAAACTTGATGATCCCAAGCTTTGCTTTCTTTTAGATCTATCTTAAGTTTAGTTTCCACACAATGGGTGCATGTACATGTGTGCTTTATTGCACAGTAGACTAAGTTACTGCACAGTAAAGCATCAATGTCCACACATGCACTGCAATTAGGGCACAGTAAATTCATTTACTCTGGTGTAGGATAGTCCTGTCAGACACAGGTACTATCCAAAGGTGGAGTAAATTACTGTGCTTAAAGGCACTTGTAGATGGTGATGTTGGGATTAGTTTACTTCAGCTCAAATTACACCAGAGTTTATTCAGTTGCATTAACTGCATGTGTAGATGCACCTGGTATTATTTATTCTGGTCTTTATCTGAACACGCAGAGACTCTCACAGCTCTTCCTAATGATCATGGAAGTTATGTATGAACACTATGTTTATGAAAGATTCCAGATTGACAGTCCAGCAGAGTAAATTGTCCAGGATTTTAAAGGACTCAATTTTGGTACCCAAATGCATCCAACTTTGTGAAAAATCAGGGAATTTTAAGTCTTTGGGTCTCATGGACAGATCTAATATTTTGAAAATGGGTTTGCAGTGGTGTATCATCGCATATAACATACATTTTTCTCCAGTTAGAGAGAAACTGGAAGATTTACTAATACACTAGAATCTCAGTGTTATATTATTCAGTACAAGATCAAAACAAAAACAAATATAACTTCATTGGAAGGTGCACTAATTTACTGGTTTATATATTAAGATTAAAAAATACAACAAACTAGACAAAAATAGTCCAAAATGCTGTTTTGTTAGTCCTATAGTTATTATGGTTAAAATGTTTATCTGTTACTCAGATTCATAAAACAAAATCTAGCCTTCTTGAGCCTCCTGACAGTGCATCTAACACTTCACTGTCAATTGTGTCCATACTCAAGTTAATGTTCACTTGAGTTAATGTTACCACACCTGATTCAAGGTGTTTAGCTAGAACTAAAAACAGTTTACAAGGCATTGAAATTGGAAAGAGATATTACCAGGAATAACTATCAGACAGAAAAATTGCAGAAGAAAGGATAATTTGATTAATGGTGCATCAAGATCATTAAAACAGAGAGAGGGGCATTAATACCAATAAAGAGAGATTAGCAGGAATCAGGTATATTAGAATAAGCCATGAAGTCAGTTGACTCCCTCAGCATTACCTGAACAGAAATGTTACTGCCTCTCTGGGGCAGTGAGTTCTAAAGTTTGGGTGGAGCAGGAATCAAAGGAGGATGCAACTGCACCACTGTATCCACTATTGTTCAGCCCCATTAAATTAAAACATCCAAAATTAAAAGTCACTTTAAAAATAACTAGGTCTACTGGTCTACAGTTATAGGAACTTTGGGAGCTTCATTTATACTGGACACCTGATTTAGAGGGATCACTTCTAGAAGCAAGAGGTAGTCCAGTCCACAGGTTTTCTTTGGCTTATTCACTGGGACTGGCAACTAGTATGTCACTTGAGGTCAATTAGACTCAAGTGCTTTGCCCTCATGTAAGCAATGAGAGGCCAGAACTCATATAAACCTGTCTTAACATTTGCACACTGAACCTACAATTGAAAGCTAATTCAATGTAAGTGATTTTTTAATAATCAATGTTATGGTTAAAATGCTATGCTATCATTAACATAATTAAAGCACTCTAAGAGTTAACAACCCCCAGAGCACTGAGGATTTCCAGCAAAGAGAGCTGGAAGATTAAGAAGCAGTATTTAAAAGGAATAAAACCAAACACAGTAAAATATTGAACAAACGTAATAACTCTAGATTCCTTCTTGTATACCAAAGCAAGTTTTAATCTGCTGAATCCCTCATGGAAACCAGCCAATATAAAATGTGATGGCACTTAATATTAACAGCTGTCCAGAAGGAAATGCATCTAGCTATAGCTACTGACACTGAGAAAAGGGAAAGAAATTCCAAATGTTTCTGGTTCACAAAAAAATGAAGAGCAAAGTGATGATGCCAGATACGCATTGTATTTCCAGGAAGAATTAGCTTTCCTAGTAATGGAATGGAAGTACGGATCCCATAAAAACAACTGTTTAGCTATTTCTATTGCTACTCTTAGACCCTTTCTACACATTACAGGTATTGCACAATTAATTGGTTAATTGCACAATTATCTTGAGACCAGTTGCACGTGCAAAGTACTTACAATGCCATATAAAGCTCCAACCAGCTGTAAAGTTAGACCTTGAAAATGTTTACCAACTTTATAGCTGGTTGCTATCATGCTTTAATTTGCATGTGTAGCAGGGTCTGACCTGCGGCTGGGAGCCCTGTCAGATGAGGCTCCCAGCTGCAACAGTTCACCATGTCCAGCAAAGGCTGGGAGCCTTCAGATAAGGGGACTATCAGCCCTACCAGCTTCTGACTCTGTCTCAGCGGCACCTGCAGCTGCCAGGACTCAGAGTTTGGCAGCTGTGGATGCTGGGTCCTGGAAGCATACCTCTCAGTGCCAGGAGCCAGCTGAGTCCCAGCAGCCATGAGATGCAACTGCAATCTCCCAGACCCAGAGGGGTGGGGGCAGAGGGGGCAAGGCAGGAGCCCCTGGGGCTGGGAGATCACAGAAGCTTCAGACTTCCAGCCTCAAGGGTGCGTGAAGCCCTCAGGGCTAGATTACAGCTGCCATGATCTGTCAGGCCCAGGGATTTCATGCACCTACCCCCGAGGGCTAGGAGATCAGCGCAGCTGCATCAGGGGAAGCATGGGGTGACTCTGAAGCTGGGAGCCCCTCAACGAACGGGACTCCCAGACGTTAGAGCTTGCTGCTTGCCAATGTAAGGGGAGACTGGGATTGGGCTCCCCCTGCACTGGCAATAAGGTGCAATGGGATCTAATGCATGATTCCACTGCGACACCTCCTGCCATGCAAGTGTGCAATGGCAAGAGGTGCAACTGTGTGTATGGTGCACTACATCCCATTGTGCTTTTATCTGCATGTGCAGAGTGGCCCTTAAATCTTAATCAACTTCTAATTTTAATATGGCCAAATAAATGGCTGTTATTTGGACCCCCAAAATATTCTATGGATTAAAAAAATGGAGCAGCTGGAAGACAGGGTTAAATATAGTATTGAATATAGCCAATATGAAAGCCATTGGGAATAGAATATGTGATCTGAAGGCAGTCTGTAATCCTTAGTTCTGTTCCTAGTTTTAAAAGGAAATCTTCACTGCAGTTTATTCATCTCAAATGCCAGCAATTAAGAAATACTTTTTGCCATGAATAAGGTGTGAAGGCTATTATTTGCAAAGTCTAAATTACCATTAGGATAATAAAGCTAGGACTCAGCAATGATTTTCCTTTTAAGGCACGTTATTTTGAAATCTAAAATCACTGTTCTGTTCAAAGAGAATGCAAACAATTTCAAATCCCTTTTAAAAGTCATTAAACAATCCAATAGAACCAAGCAATTTAAGAAAAAAAACAAGCCTTTGATATTAAACTATTTTAAACATTATGCATTAAAACAATTCATCATTTTAAAACTAGTGTTGGAACATATTAGAAATTGGCTTACAGTCACATTCATAACATTCCCACATTTGCAGGGAAGGCTGAGAACACCGCTTTCCAGAAACATTTTTCATTACTAAGTTCAGTAATAAAAAATTAACATAAAAATGTTTCTTTTGCTTAATTTAAATCAAGATGAATATGGAATTTGATTCTGTTGATGGCTTGAGCATAATTCTTTTAAATATTAATTTTTTACATTTTAATAATGTAATTCTAAAAGCAGAGTACCGCAGCACAAAAGGATTATAATATTTATAGCTAATGAGCATTCATGATTGAACAGATCAAATCTGGAATATGATGGCTGTTCCATTGAATTTTAAATAAGTGCTCATTCTTTCTTTTTCTCCTTTACTAAGATGCATCTCTGGGTGCTTGGCTAGAAATAATCTCAAATTAAGCTTCATTTACACTAGTTTCCAAAACAGAAATGACATAAGATAAGAACTATTTTAAAAAGCAGCAAAATTATAAAAATAGTTTAAATATTGTTGATGTTAGGCAGAATTAAAAAACCATACTCACCCAAGGAGTTAGGTACCTAAGTATTTATTCCTTAAAACACTATGAGGTACATATCTGTACTTCTAAGTATCCTATGTGCCAGTGGCGACATGTAGGGGGTGCACCCCATGCAGCCCCTGAAAGTGCTGGTACAACCCCTGACAGGCCACGTTTCCCGCTTAGGCAACGAGCGGCGGGCAGGCCGGAACACCGGTGACCCCCCTGTGA